GTTTTTGATTATTTCTGTTTTGTCTTTTTATTGGAGGTTTGAAGTTGTTGTGCGAGGCAGCAATTTCAGGTGTTTACCTATGCCGCCATCTTGGTTTCTCCCAGAAATTATGGGCGTCTTTTTTCTTAAAATTAAAAATATATGTAATAGCATTTTTACCATTACTAGTTGTTGTGGAAACAAAGGGGAAGAAATAGCCGATAGTTCCAATACCCAAAGACAACTGCTAATATTTTGTTGCATTGCCTTTTTGCTTTTTTTATATATTATGTATTTAATCTTTATGAAATCATGTCATTATACAGTTTTGTAAACCAGTATTTATATAATTCTGTTAAATTGCATTTTCACCGAACATAGTATCATGAACTTATTGCCTTTTTGTTACATATTTTTGAAAATACATTTCAAGTTGTAGCATAACATTCCAGGCTCTTAAATTATTCTCCTTTTGTTGAAATTAGTATATGTGTTTTTTCATTAGGGGCTTTTATAAATAATATTATGATTGGCATTACTGTAGATATTATTTGATGAAGTTTCTAATTCCTTACTAAGAATAAATTCTAAGGGTTGTGTCTGGGAGGAAAAACGTTTCCTCTACCTTCTTAATCAGGAGGATCTGCAAACTTAGACAAGAGAAGAAGCATACAATTTTATCAATAGTTTTGGTGCACGGGAGTTCACAGAAAATAAGTTAAACTCAAGAAGTCCTGAGATTCAGGGACTTATATACAATTTAAACAAAAATAGGGCGTTTGGGCTTTGAGGGATATTCAGTTGTGGGGAAGTGACTTGGAAGTATATGGGGGGAACTAATGGAAGGCAAAGGTTAATTTAGTAAGGGTGGTTTATACAGGCTCTTCTCAATGCCAGCTCCATTGATGAGTCACTCTTGCTGGGGGACACCTTCACAAGGAAAAATGTATGCCTGCTGTTAGGTGGCTAAGGGGAGGGAAGAGAACTCTTCCTGCATCTGTTGATTTGCTGTTGCCTTCTGCTCAGAACAATCCTTATGCCAAAGCAGCACATTTTGGGGTGGCACATCTTGATTCCCTTCAGGTGGAAATGAGGGGTATCATGATACTTAATGATACGTCCAGTTCTTCCGGAAGGTGGTCTGATTCGGGTTGTTTTCCTGAGCAGGATGCAAGAGTAATTTCTTTCTCCGGTCCTTGTCCAGATGGTTTCAAAGAATGAAGCCACTGGACAAAAGGTGGTAAATGAAAGGGCGGAAATTTATTGGAAGCAAATACAGACTCCCACTAGTAGGAAGGGGATTCCAAGGGAGTAACCCACTAAGCTCCTTTTTTCCTTCAGTGCTAGAATTCTGTCCCAAGTAAATCCTGGGAAAGGATCTGGGGTGTTTATCTAAGGTGTCCCTTGAAATAAACTTTAACCGTGCAGGTGTGGTACATTCAAGTAGTTGCTAGCGAAGAGGCTACTCTATGCAAGCAGAACCAAGGGCAGGCGTAGGACTGAAAAGACCAGAAGCTTTCATTTTAATTTTGAGCGTATGCAAAATAATTCAGTTAACTGCCGGAGGAATTACAGCACATGAAACATATGCAGTTGCAAATCACACAGCACTTTATTACTCACACAAGTTCCTGGTGCTGTGGGTACAGGCTTAATGGGAATCCCGGTGGCGCTGTCCTCTGGGGTCCGGCAGCTGGGCTGGTCCAGTCTGGATGCAGGGGGCCAGCATTCCTCACTCGAGAGCTCAGTTGCATCTTGATCGAGAGGTACTGGCCGTTCTTCTGTCGTCTGGCAAGAAAAGAAACATGGAATGGCGTTGCTTGCCGGACTGACAAGAGGACGTGCCTTTGTGGCTGTCTCGACAGGCAAGCACCATTGGCTGGTCAGGACCCCCATTTTTTAAAAATATTTTTATTGATTTCAGAGAGGAAGGGAGAGGGAGAGATAGAAACATCAATGATGAGAGAGTATCATTGATCGGCTGCCTCCTGTAGGCCCCTTACTGGGGATCCAGCCTGCAACCCAGGCATGTGCCCTTGACTGGAATTGAACCTGGGACCCTTCAGTCCACAGGCTGGCGCTCTATCCACTGAGCCAAACCAGCTAGGGAGGACCCCCATTTTTAAAGCCTGTACCGCACTGGCAACAGTTCAGGTGGCTATCAATAAATTACGTCAATGCACACATGTTAATCTCAAACAGGGCAAGGGGCTACATGTGATTATCTTAGGAAAAATACATCACTCACTCAAATGGTTATCTTGACAAGTCACTCTGAGTCAATAACTAAAGTTCAAATCCTTATCTATAAAATACACACGCTTCAGGGCAATGAGAAATGTGTCCTTAATATCATACTTTAAGTTTCAAGGAAAATTAACTCAAACATTTTAAACCTTTCTTAACATTTTTTATACATTTTAAAGCATTTTTAAACATTTCTATATATATTACTACAACAAATTCTCTGTCTCCTGTGAAAATCTCATTTGTCTGCATTTCTCTATCCTCTGTGAAAGTTTGTTTCCTTTTTTCCCCATACCTTGTGGCTTTTCCCTATCTTCTGTGAATGGATGTCTTCCTCTCTGCTAATCCTGTGGAATCCTTTTTTTTCCTCTGTGAATGTATGCCTTTTGGCAACTCCAAGCCCTCACCTATGCCTTCCTCCCCCATGGAGCCTCTTTATTCCTAAAACTCCCTAAACCTGCCTATTTTATCCCTAAAACTCCTTTCAGAACCAGTTTCTACCTTTGTGAGTGTATCAATCTTTGGGAAATTTTTAAATTGTTGCGTAGTTTGAAAGTAAATCATTGGAAAGGATAAGATCACAAAGATTTTTAAAAAGAAAATTTGTGTTAACAAAAACTTCACTTATAATTATTCTACTTAACTCCAACCTTTTGATAATTCAGAGACAACACTTTGGGAAAGAATCTAGATTGGCTTGCAGGGAAATGTGATCAGGTTTCCATTTGTGGGCCCACTTGGCCCATTTAGAGGCATACCACTGCACTCTTCATTGTGAGATCTGGCTTCTGCCTCCCACACTCATGAGACAGGCTCCCTGCTTTTTCCTCCTGAGCAAGGGATTAATTCCTTGTTCTCACTGTTCAGGGCTGGGGATCCAAAAGAGTAGAGAAGCAATCCCATCTTCTTTCCAACTCCCTTCATTTTGCTGGGTTTTACTACCACCATCATAGAAAAGAACATTAGCTCAAGTGTCATAGTTCCTACAGGTTCCCCTCTTCCATGATGCCCACCCTTTTGAATACCAGCTATATTCCCATAAAGACAGTATAACACACACTAAGCTATTTCCTTTAGCATGGACTTTAGGCCTTGATTTAAAGGCCTATTGGAAGAGACAAGCAATTTGAATGACCCTTCTTTTTGAAGGAAAAGTATACACACTGAGCTAATTCCTTCAGACCTTTAGCATGGACTTTAGGCCTTGATTTAAAGGCCTGTTGGAAGAGATAAGCAATTTGAATGACCCTTCTTTTTGAAGGAAAAGTACTGTTTTGAACTTTCTGTTAAATTAATAATCTGTGGGGGTTTTGTTTTGCTTTGTTTTTGTTCCTGAAGAACCCATTAAGGCACTGGAAACTCTACACGTTGTTTTTGTGAGCTGTGGAAAGGAGCACTCCCTGGCTGTTTGTCACAAAGGAAGGGTCTTTGCATGGGGAGCTGGTTCTGAAGGACAACTGGGGATTGGAGAATTTAAGGAAATAATTTTTACGCCTAAGTAAGTATTTCAGTTCATTCATTCATTCAATATTTTTGAGTTCCACCTGCTAGGTACCATGCAAGATGCCAGGGTAGAAAGATGACTATGCCAACAAACACAGTCTCTAACCTCAACCATTACAGTATATTGCAGGGAGGAGGCTGGGGAAAAACTTGTAACATCAATTATTATTTAAAGTCCTATGAAAGAGAAGGGCATGGTGAATGTGAACATGTGACCCTTCGGTCTTAATCTAATCTATTGGAAATACCTATACAACTTGGACCCCCTGAGTTGGCATAAAGATTAAAGTAAAAACATTTGAGCTACTGAAGATGCAGAAAGCAATTTATCTGAATTTCCCTCTCTGACTAAAGCAGTGCCTCCTAAAATTCAGCTGCCATTAACCCTCCTAGCAAGGAGTTTCCTGTGAATTCAGCTGCCCTATCAGCACCAAAAAAAAAAACCCAAAAAACAAAAAAACAAAACCCACAATAGAAACTCCCATACTCTTTCATGGAAGTTCTAACTGCCTCCTCCAATCCCGACTTTTGTTATGTTGATATATATAAACTTTTACTCTGGTTATTCCACAAAGTTTCTATAACTGGTAGCTCCCATGTGTACATATAAATAAGCCATGTCTTTTCTACGGTTAATCTGTCTATTGTCAATTAATTGTAGGTCCTCAAATCACTGCACCCAAATTAGAAAAAGAAATGTTTTTCTTTCAACATAACCTTTTTGTTATAATCACTGGGTCCTAATATTTTACTTAGTCAAATAGAGGGGGGAAATCATATCCTCACAAAAAGTTTTCTAGGACAAATGATATGACAAGCAGTCTGAATTTTGTGTTCATGAATTATACATACTTTGGAAATGGTCAAGAGCATGTTTTCTAATACCAGGAAGTTACCTTGTTACCCCCTGTGGTCATTAAATCATGTGAGAAATTGCTGTGGCTTGAGGAATGATCATTGAACTTGAAACAGAAAGACCAAGGTTTGAGTCTAGTTCTACAACTTGAAACATATCTGACTTCTTTGAGTTCTAGGTTCAACCATGTGAAATTGCGGATAGTTACGTTTTGATCCTGTAGAGGCAATTCAACCCAATGGTTTTGTTTTTCTCACAGGGATTAAAATAGTATCCTATAAATTCTAAAGCCCTGTGCTATATGTGTATGAAGAAAGTTATTTTTCTTTTACATCAATAAGTATAAAATAAAAGTTGGTACATTAAATAATGCATTAAAAGTCCAGTAAAAGTCACTTTTGCATTATATACTGTTTTGAATTCTGCCCTGCACCTTTGTACATGCTGATGTCATGTTAAAAACAGTTCAAAGCTTTGAAAAAAAGATACTACAGAAATACAAGAACATTAAATTGTTTTTCTAAACCAAATGTATTACCTGGGATGTTTTAGATATCTGTAGCCCACTTAGTGATACATTCTAAAGAACGATTAATAGAGTTTGTATATTTTTTATGTTTCATTTTTAATACAGGAAGATAAAAGCTCTGGATGGTATAAAAATAATACAAGTTTCCTGTGGAGACTACCATTCCCTGGCATTATCAGAAGGTAAAAAAGGTGTTTTCGATCTCCTGTTGGCTTTTAATGCATTGGGGTTCACTTTAATGCATTTAGAAGTTTTTAACTCTCCAGATTTCAGAAAAGATGTTGTTTTCATATATTTTTTCAATTTTCTTTGTTCTTATTATACTCTTAACTATTGCCTAATTCATATTTCACTGCCATAAAGACCATCTCTGCTTACATGATCTGATTGGCTGACTCTCTCAGAACCCAGTAGTGGTTTTATTTCCAGCATTTTGCCCTTTTTGTGGAATGGCTTGTCTTCACTGGCAAATTCAGGTAGACAAAGGCCTATTCTCTTTTTTACTTAGATCAAAGAAAGAAACATCAAAATCATGACTACTTTTTTTTTTTTTTTAATCATCAACATCCTCAATCCTTTGTCCATCCTGCCAAATTTCAATGGAAAGTGTCAGGGAGGAAAAACTTTTCCTTTACTCCTTAGTTTCAGTACCTGGAGGGCTACAAATATAAGAAACGACAAATTACTAAGAAAAAAGGCACATCATTTTCATTGATACTTTCGGGCATGGGAGTTCACGAAAAGAAGTGAAACCCAAGAAGTGGTTGGATTCTGGGGCTTATATACCATGTGAACAAAGGAAAGGAGGTTTGGGTTAGGGGAGAGATATTGTGGGAAAGGGACTTGAAAAAATGTGGGGGGAACTAATGAAAGATGAGGGTTATTTCGCTAAGGGTGGTTGAAGCACCCTCATGCCAATGCTGACTCTCCATCTCTGGTGATGAGTCCCTCTCCCATTCCTGGTACCAAGGGGACGCCGTCACAAAAGGAAATTTATGCCTTGCCTTCGGGTGGGTAAGGGGAGGGCAGAGAACCCTTTCCGCAACTGTTATTCTCAGTTGCCTTCAGCTCAAAATAATCTCCCAAACGGGGCATATTCTGGTCCCCTTCAAGAGACATCTGACATTTGTGTGTCCCTCTGGTGGTTTCGTGTGCATAACTGCCATTGTGACACCGGGGCCAGGGACAGCCAACGTTTCTTAGTTGCCTTCTATGTGCTACTCTTAAATGCTTTACGTGTGTTGTCTCATGTAATTGCCTAAAACACAGAAGCTAGGGCCCTGGCTGGTGTGGCTGAGTTGGTTGAAGTATCGTCCAATGCACTAAAAGGTGGTGGGTTCCACATGGTCAGGGCACATACCCAGAGTTCAGGTTCAATCCCCTGTTGGGCCACATGCGTGCGGGAGGCAACCGATCAATGTTTCTCACACATCAATGTTTCTCTCTCTCTCTCACTTTCTCAAGATCAATAAAAATTTTAAATAAATAAAAATATTTTAAAACACAGAACCTAGGTATTATTTGTATCCTTATTTCAGAAATAAGGATAGTTGGGCTCAGAGACTTTCACTACGTTTATATCCCAATCTTACGTTCTTAATCACTGTACCATGTAGGCTATGCAACCAGGACAATCCCAGGGCTATAGTGTGCTTCCTTCTACCTACCACTTCTAGCTATTTAATCTAAGGCAAGTTATTTAACTTGGTTGAGTCTCAGTTTTCTCACCTGTAGGAATATTGATGCATAGCTTAAAAGTTGTTTAGAGCCGAACAGGTTTGGCTCAGTGGATAGAGCGTCAGCCTGCGGACTGAAAGGTCCCAGGTTCGATTCCGGTCAAGGGCATGTACCTTGGTTGCGGGCATATCCCCAGTGGGGGGCATGCAGGAGGCAGCTGGTCGATCTCTCTCATCGATGTTTCTAACTCTCTATCCCTCTCCCTTCTTCTCTATAAAAAATCAATAAAATATTTAAAAAAAAAAAAGTTGTTTAGAAGATTCAGTGAGAAAAGGTACACAATTTATCCTGAACAGTCCATAGCATGTAGGGTACAATAAATATTAGTTTCGTTTCCTTTCTTCTTTTTTAAAATTAGAAAATGTATATTTTTATTGAGGTATAATTGACATACAACATTATTTAGTGTCAGGTGTACAACATAATAATTAATATTTGTATACACTGTGAAATAATCACAATAAATCTAGTTAGCATCTGTCACCAAACAGTTACAGAATTTTTTCTTGTAATGAGAACTTTTAAGATTTATTCTCTTTGCAACTTTCAAATATGCAATACAGTATTATTAACTCTAGTGGCCATGCTGAACATTACATTCCCATGACATTTATTTTATAACTAGAAGTTTGTATCTTTTGATTCCCTTCACCCATTTTATCCCTAACTCTTGGCAACCACCGCTCTGTTCTTAGTATCCATGAGTTGTTGGTGTGTTTTGTTAAGATTCAACATTAAGTGAGATCATACAGTATTTGTCTTTGTCTGACTTATTTCACATAGCATAATGCCCTCAAAATACATCCATGTATTGATTTCAGAGAGGAAGGGAGAGGGAAAGAGAGATAGAAACATCAATGATGAGAGAGAATCAATGATCAGCTGCCTCCTGCACACCCCCTGTTACAGATTGAACCTGCAACCCGGGCATGTGCCCTAACCCAGGAATCAAACCATGACCTCCTGGTTCATAATAGGCTGATGCTCAACCACTGAACAAATGGAACTTCTTAATTATGGAAATGATTTGAATTTTTTCCTTGGAGCATTGATTTGTCTTTATGTTGATCTGGAATGTAAAAGCTGTGTAGAACCCAGCACTCAATGCATTTGCTATGGTGAACTGTGAGTTCTCATACACTTTCATGACAGTTTGACATTTTGCAGCATGTTCTCAAAAATTATTTTCAGTGATAGAAATAACTTAGAAGAGTTCAAAATAAAAGTTAGATATAATAACTTAAAAATCTGAGATGTGTGGCATTTCTCTGGACAAATAATTAAGCATTAGAGCAGCTTTTTAAAAATTTGATACTAATTTTCCCTCTCTGGTCAAATTCAACATAAAATGTTGGTTCCCGTCCCCTCCCCCGCCATGGAGTCATTTCACAAATATTTACCAAGTGCCTGCAGTGTTTCTAACAAAGGAATATAGCAGTGAACAAACATAAGACCCTGCTTTCAGGAAGCTTATATTCAGACTATAGGCCCGGTGCATGAAAATTCATGCACTGGAGGGGGTGTCCCTCAGCCCAGCCTGCCCCCTCTCACAGTCTGGGAACCCTCAGTGGTGGGAGGCGACCCAGCGATCAGGGGAAAGCGATGCCCCCATCACACCTCTGCTGCTGCCACTGCCAGCAGCGCAAGCCTCAGGCAGCCCTGGACGGCTAGGCAGCCGCCATCCAAGGCTTGCCTGCACCTTGGGCCGGCCCTGGGTGGCTGGGGGGCTGAGGGTGGGTCCAGCCTCACTGCATGCCTGCCACGCCTCTGGCTGGGCTGAAAGGACTAGGGGACTCTGGCGGGCCTGAGGGGACGGGGTGCCGCCATCTTGTGGCTATGGGCGCCACCATCTTTGTGATGGCATGATGGTCAATTTGCATATCCCCTCTTTATTAGATAGGAAGAGAAGTAGGAGAAGATACCCTTAAACACAGAGACAAATAGTTATGTAGTATAACAGATAAGGATAAGGGGTCTGAAGAAAAGTGAGTGAGGGTAAGAGGACAGAGAGCAAGTGCTTGGGTGAAGGAAAGGGGTTTTCCTATTTATACAGGAAGTCAGGGAAGCTATCTCTTATTAGGTGACATATGAGCAGAGACCAAAAGGGAAGGAAGGAGATATGATGCTAAGGCCATGATCCAGAAGAATGATCCCAAAACAAAGGTGATGAGGTAGGGGGCATGCCCAGTGGTGTGCTCAGCAAGAGCAGGATATATGGAGAGGCATGAGGAAGGGGCAGATGAGGTCTGAGAAGTGGTCGTGGGAAATACTGGGCACGTGGGGCTTGTGAGCTGTAGCAAGAATCAGTCTTTTCTTGAGTGAGATAGCAAGCTCCTGAATGGTTCGACCTGACTCATATCTTTAAAAGGTCACTCACTCTGGCTACTCTTTGGAACAGACTGCTGGGGGCAAAGGTGGGATCTGGGAGTCCAGAAAGGTGGTGTTGTAATTTTCCAAGACAGAAATGATGGTGATTTGGCCACTGAGGAGCTAACAGTGGGGAGGTGAGAAGTAGTTGGATTCTGTATAAACTCTGACAGTAGAGGCTTTAGGATCTGCTGGGTTGGAAGATATAAAGGAAAGAGAGGAGTCAAGGATGACTCCAAGATTTTTGGCCTGAGCACCTGAAAGAACACAGTTGCCCTTTACTTGGAAGGAGAAGAGGAGTGGATGTTGTTAGAAGGGACCTCTGAAGGTGATCTTGACCTTTGCCTTTAGCCAGAATACTTTAACCTTATTTAACCCTGTTTTATTTTTTAAAGATTTTTTTGAATTAGGGTGGAAGTTTCTACTTGCAATTCTGAATTTCTCTTCTTTATTTCTGTAGATGGCCAAGTGTTTTCATGGGGAAAGAACAGCCAAGGTCAACTGGGCCTGGGGAAGGACGTTCCCTCCCAAGCCAGCCCGCAGCGGGTGAGGTCCTTAGAGGGGATCCCCCTGGCTCAGGTGGCTGCAGGAGGGGCCCACAGCTTTGCCCTGTCTCTCTCTGGGACTTCATTTGGCTGGGGAAGCAACAGTGCAGGGCAGCTGGCCCTCAGCGGGAAAGATGTCCCAGGTAAGGAGATAATCTTGTGCCTGCAATAAATTATTATTTCTTTCCAGTTGGAAGACCAACTCTGCAAAGGGCGGTCTCAGAGGTTAGAACAGTGGTTCCCAAACTTTATGGAACATTAGAATCACCTGGAGGCTACATTAATTTTTATGGTTGCTGTAACAAATTACCACAAACGTAGTGGCTTAAAACAACACAGATGTGTTATCTTATTGTTCCAGTGGTCTGAAGTCTGGTGTGGGTCTCCCTGGGCTAACATCAAGGTGTCAGCAGGGCTGTGTTCCTTTCTGGAGTCTCTCGGGCAGAAGCCATTTTCTTCTCTTTTCCAGCTTCTAAAGACCACCTGCATTCCTTCACTCAGCCCCCTTTCTTCTTCAGAACCAGCAATGGCTGGCTGATTAAGTCTTTCTCAAGTCACATTATTCTGACATTGACACGTCTACCTCCCATTTCTTCAGTTAAAGGACTCTTGTGATCTCCCTGTTTTAAGGTCAACTGATTAGCAACTTTGATTCCATCTGCTTCTTTAACTCCCCTTTGACATGTACCCTAACATGTTCACAGGCTCTGGAAAAAAGGACATGGACGTCTTTGGGAGGCCATTATTCTGTCTACCATGAGAGCATTTAAAAATCCCAATGCCCTGGTTGGACCCTATACCGATTAAATCAGGATGTTTGGGGATGGAAGTCAGGCATCAGTCATTAACAAAGATCTCATGGGTGATTCTGCTGTGCAGCAAAATTTTGGAACCACTGGATTAGAAGCCTGCTAGCAGTAGGAGAAATAACCAGTTTCTTTGGCAACCTTTAAACAAAACTCACTGTGAAGTCTTCTCCATGGGCCCTGCCCTCCTCTGTTAAATTTTTTACTAGTACATTCAACTAACATATCTTTAGCACCTGTTTAGTGCTAGTACCATGCTGAGCACTTACATATAATTTCATTTAACTCTGTCAGCATGAAGTAGGTTCTTTTATTTTCTTAACTACTATTACATATTTGCAAAATACCTACTGTGTGACAGAAATGAATTCAGCATGATGACGACACTATAATTAGGATGAAGGTCTTAAAGCTTAGCTTTCCAGGACAATAGATTCAGGAAAGAAGATTAAATAGTTTCCAGAAATACATGCTAAAAGACTGCTTTTCTTTCCCAAAGCAGGGCTTGCCCTTTGTTTTCTAAAACCTCTGGTTATTTATTCACTTCTAAAAATTATGTTAATTAATTATAAGATAATAAAAATATTAAAAACTATAAAAATATAAAAACTCATGATAACTGAGTCTGCTTCTTATACTTCTTTCAACAGTGCAAAGCTACAAGCCTCTTTCAGTTGGTCGGCTAAAGAGTCTAGATGTGACTTACATCAGCTGTGGTTATGAACACACTGCAGTGCTTACCCAGGTAATTCAAAATGTCTTGCTATTTTTCAAAATTTCAATCAAATGTTACCACAAGGTTCAGT